AACTACAGAGATGAATTTGGAAAACTTTAGTAAATAAACAGAAGAGGACAAGACCACCTTCAGAGAACCTGTGGACTCAAAAACGAAGAAGACACAGGGCCAGGCTGTAGCCATTCTACATTCAGAGTTTGGAAACTAGGAGAAGTCCCCTGGAGGAAACCAGGTTGCTCATCCTGACAGGGGACACTGGTGACTGGAACAAGTAGCCCAGGGGCAAGTCAGGCTCTTCCACACTCGGCCCTGTCCCTGGGCAAGCTCCTGGGTCCCTGTCTCATAACTCGACTTCTTCCTCCTGACACCACTATCAACCAGCTTTCTCAAAGTGCTGTCTCACAGTCATGGGAAACTTCCTCTGGGTGACACCCTGCCCACTGGCCCAGCTGTGACACCTTGATCTATTCCCACAGAAGGAGGGCAGCAGTGGCCCTCAGGGAACATCATGACAGGGTAAAGGACCAAGCTGCACTAACAGGATCTGCTGCCCCTCTTCATGCTGCTCCTGGACAGGTAGAGTCCACCTTCTTCAGGTTCCCTGAGCCCTGAACCTGCCACTAACAGCATCATCCCACAATTCTGCCCTGATGTCTCCTGGCTTTGGTCAATGTCTGAATGGACCACCTCTTCCTGAATCATGGTCATGGCAGCTTTACGTCAACTTGACTGGGAACAGGACAGAAGGATTCTTCACCTGAGAAGAAAAGGGAAGCTAGAAAAATGTAGAACAGGAAATCTACAGTCTACAACTCCACCATCAACTAGAACCACACAATCTGCCACAGTCAGCCTGGCAATAAAGGTCCCACTACCTGGAAATATCCCCACAGTCCCACTGCCAGCAGGACACCAGAGAACTCCCAGCCTGACCTCTTTTGCTCTCTCAGCCCACCTCACTCAGTTCTCAACTGATCTTTCTTTCCTTTTCTGGTCCTGGGGATGGAATCCAGGGGTGCTCTACCAATGAGCTACATCCCCAGCCCTTTATATTTTTTATTTTGAAACAGAGTCTAAGTTGTACAGGCTGGCCTCCAACTTGAGCCCCTCCTTCCTCAGCTTCCTGAGTAGCTAGGATTACAGGCTGTGCCACCACGCCTGGGTTCACCTAACTTCTAAGTGCCCTTGGCTCTTCTTTTCCTTATGGCTTTCCTCTCCTTTGGGCAGATTTCATCAGTAGAAAATTCCTTCTCCAGGCCTGGCCTCTCC